AGAGAGAGAGAGAGAGAGAGAGAGAGAGAGAGAGAGAGAGAGAGAGAGAGAGAGAGAGAGAGAGAGAGTAGGCCGTGGGCGGGGGATGAGGGAAGAGAAAATTACCGAGGCTGGAGACGCAGAGCGACTGCCATCTGCAGGCCGCGTTTTCCTTCAGACGAGCTCGAGCACACGATATTTCCGTGCCTGCATTGCACAAGCCAACAGGGACGCCTAGCGATGACTGCCCCGCTGCCCATGACTCCCCCTGCAGAGTCATTGTAACAAATATAAACAACCAGCTCAAGACGTAATTACACCGCATTGTGGCCAAACTAGCAGTCATCTCCATTCTCCTCATGAAGTGTTAACCTTCCCTGCGTTATTGTATCCACTCCGGTGCTAGAACAGATCACTTCTTCTATCTACCAGGTCGTCGACACAGCTGCCGCCGTTGGCTTGAAGGAGACGTCCTCTCTTTTCGTCCTTCTATCCAATACACTCTGCAAACTTGCCCAAACCCGCCCAGCAACGACGCCCAAGATCAGCATCAACATCTCCCATCTAGTTGTCAGCAATTGATGTTTCCTAAGTCGAGAATTCATCAATCTGTGAGTCGGCAGATCAATGGCTGACCGTTCAATGACATCCACATTTCCGAATATCAGCATCGGCACGTCCCTTCTAGTCGTAAGTAATTGATGTTTTCTGAGTCGACAATTCATCGATCTATGAATCGGCTGATCAATGGATGACCGTTCATCCACTGTCCCCTCGATCCCACACACTCGACAACCCGTAAGGAGCTCAACCCGCTGCCAACACTGCATCTAATTGCGACCTTGTTATCGCTCCTGATTGCACAGAATGCTGGGGCTATTTCCCCTCTGATCCAGGCAATGATCAAATAACGTCAGTTTCTAGGCAGTGGATCATGGATCGTCAGTTCCTAAGGCAGCTCCCCTTGGAACTCGGCACAATAATTGAGACATCTCCCAACCTACTGCTATCCCAAGAACTAGAGCGTGTTCCCGTCGCTCAACAGATCAGCGATCCGCGTCTGCGCGCAGTCGTACCATCCCCTTGATGTTGCCGAAACCCTGCTCTTTTCCAAAACGTTCGGCCAAAGCGAGTATCGCAGAGACGGATCCGTAGTCTGAGAGGTCACAAGAGCGTCCATCATTGACGGCCCCGTTTCGTGCGCGCATCGCCCCGCTTCATTAATATGAATTAATTCACTCAAAGATCGGCATGACTACGACCCGAGCAAGCTATTGTAGATCACGAGGTAATCAGTCGGGAAGACATGATTGGCAACAGCAGGAATGGAATGTGTGTACAGCGAGACTTCACTTCCGGAGTGGTGGAGCCAGCCCACCAACTGGCTACAATGGCCATGCCAACTATGATCAGAAGCTGACGAAGAGCTCTACCTGACCAGCCGATCCCGTTTCCCTCCTTCCCCGTCGGCGATGGCGGAAGCAGAGGCACGACCCTTCCCCTCGTGCATGTCCTTCATCGCCACGATGGGGGCGATGCCAGAAAAAGACGTTTCATGCCCTCACTACATGTAGTCTTCATCATTCGCATTCCGTGGGCGCACCCGCCGAGCGCACCGCGCATGCCCAACTCCTCGGCGGGCTGTCCCAATTCGTATACCCAATTCGTATTCCCAGTTCGACTTTTCAAATTTCCCACCGAACCGCCTGCGAGTTTAGCACTGAGGTGGTCGCTGGCTGGTAAAATACCAGCGTTGTGGTTAATTTTACCTGGGTATGTCCATAATTTGTGCATTCCGGCAGTTGCTTATAACCGCAGAATTGCGGTACCAACCTGGGTCCAGCTTCCACTGTTAGACCACGCCCTGCGTGGTGGCGCAGCCTGGGGCGTGGGGGCAGATATTGTGGACGCGGGAGCAATTGCGTGCGGCAACAGTGCCGTCACACAGCACTGGCTGGCTGAAGTGGTTGACCCTTTTTCTTTCCAGGCTGGGAGGCTAAGTTGTAAAAGTAACCTATACAGCATTCTTCGGAGGCCCGCGGAGGTTGGGTGCTACTGGACCACAAAGGCAGGCGGTGCCAGCAAAAAGAAAACAAACCCGCGGCTTGGTCGCTTTGGCCTCCCATCTATCGATAATAGGCTAGAACCTCCAAGTCGAAACTGCAGAAAGCGGCCTCTTATGGCCGCCCACATGGGACGAAATTCAACAGGACTCCTGAATTTTTGGTGCTAACTTGCTTTTGGTCTTCAAGGTATTTTGATAAAGCAATCTGGCTGCTGTTGCAGCCCCTTTAATTGTGCTTCAAGGTTAATTTTGGAAAGCTGATAGCTTCAGGATGGGAGGCTGGACCCGGTTTCCAGCAGTGGGATTGTTAGTCTTTGAATAGTTTTTGGTTGAGCTGGGCTTGTAAGCTAAACTGGCTGAGGCTGCCAGGACAACTCCGGGTCGAACTGTGAGGTCCCTGGCCTCGTTCCATTTTTGGCAATATATGAATGAAGCTTTCCACATAGACGATTGCGAAAGCCGAGAGCAAAGAGGGGGACGCGGAACCAAGGAAGTGTGTCGTGCAGCGGGGGTGCATCTTTCCATCTTTTTGTCTTTTGCATTTGGTGCATGGTCCACCCTCCACAGATCCCATTCACTGAGGGCCTCTCTCCACTACTCTCCAAATGTGTTTGTGGAGATCTGCGGTTGAGGAAACTCCACGCGATTTCTCCACCTTGCCCACAAACACGTCCAGATTCAGGCGTTAGCAAAAGTCAACGCAGCTAGACTAAGTGGGACTTGGGCCCTGGTCAGGGATCTGCCTAGCGGGAGTGCCTTGCTCATCCCACCGACTGCGGGCACTGATGTAAAGGACGCCCGCCCCGTCTCCCATCCCAGCATACATTGAATGCCAGTTCGAAATAGGAAAAACAAAATAAGAAAAGAAGAAGACCACGGCTGACACTGTAAAACATAGCTCACCTTGACGGCAGTATACCTTTACCTTTCTGGGCTAAGATTAGGGGAGCAGTGGCTGAGGCTCTTCCACCCCTAATGGGAAGAGGCGTGTGGTTAAATGTTGTAATCAAATCCATAACTGGAGCCTGGGGCACTGGGCCCATTTT